GTTAGAAGTCTGCTTCCTTAAGGAGATATAGTGTCTTTTTTTGTCCACCACTGTATTTTCAGCAAGTAGTGGTATGTTTAAAACAGAGGAGACCTTCAGGAAACATTGCTTCAACAATGCATTGGAAAGGCCCAATAGAGTGCAAGGGTTGAAAACAGGAGATTAGGAAGTAACTGATGAAACAAGGTACTCAGGGAGGCCACAGGGAATTAAATTCAGAGCATTAGTTGGAGGATAAAGTATATGTACACCAAAAAATAAAACAATAGGTACTAAATCAATGATGGCCAGAGAAAGTTGTAGAATGTATGTCTTGGGAGGGATCTTATTAAAATGAGTTGGGTAGGGATGGTTTCAAAGAAGTAATTGGGCCAGAAGCTACGGTTAGATTTTATTATTAACTATGACTTTAATTTACAAAAATAGAATGAATCAGATTGACTTAACTTGTGTCATAAGTTGGATTCTCTGGGGAGATGTTGAGTTAGAGTTAGAAGTGCAAAAGGTTTACTGCAGAGTAGCACTTGTGGAAGGGAAAGAGAGGAAGCAGGACTGGGTAAGGAGAGCCATCAGACTGCCATGCAAGATCTGAGAGAGCCTCTATCACCAATGTTGAGTATGTCCTTAAACTATGCCTGACTCCGTCTTTGGCTGAGGACAGGCATGGGGGAAAGGGGCTGCCCTGACAATAGTGTACCTTCAGCTTGAAAGCTCAGGTGAACCTAGAAGGAGTTAACAGCTGGAGGCTGTCAGCTAACTACATGCCTTCAGTTGGGCGGTGAGTCCTTTCTTGAAGGCAGATCTGAGAAGCGCAACTGTGACTACCACACATTATAGGATGCCAATTCAACCCAAATTAATCTACAAATTCAATAAAGGATTTTTATTTTACAAGCTCAACAATCCTGTTCTAGGAAGTATTTGGAAAAACAAAGGTTTAAGTAAAATGTGAAAAAAAAAAGAGCATAAAGGAGGGATTTGCCCTATTAGGTACTAAGATAGTCTATAAGATGTTGGTAAATAAAAACAACAGGTTTTCTTGTTTTGGTAAATAAAAACAACAGGTTTTATTCTTTATGACGGGTGTAGTCATAGACAAAGAGACCAACTGAAGAGTTCAGAACCAGAGCCATATATAAATGGAAATACAATATATAATAAAAGTGGCATCAAAAACCAATGAGAAAGTGTAGACCACTGCGTAGAATTTCAGAGAAAAATTGGCTTGCCATCTGGAAAAAAAATAGGCTAGCTCCCCACCTTACACCAAATAAAGGAATGCGTTCCAGAGAGAATAAAGATCTAAATGTGATTCTCTGGAGAGTAATGAACTATGAAGGAAATAGAACACATAGAATATCTTTGTGATGTCAAAATGCAAGGTAAGTTTTTAAACAAGAGCCCAAAGGCACCACTGAGAGGAGTAAGATTATATCCATCAGCTAGGAGAGAGGACTGGGAGAAGCTAAGAAGGAGTTAACTACACTATAGAGAATCTTCCTAGGATCAGGGCAGCTAAGTAAGCCACGAGGAGATATAAGTCTATTAGGAGGTATCATTATGACTCGCCTGTCCAAAATATTTTCCCTGCCTCCACTTCCTTCCTATTTAAAATTAAGCAAGTAAACATTTTTTAGTTCCAGACACTGTGCTAAGCGTAGGAAGTAAAAGGATAAATAAGCTTGAGTCCTAGTCCTTAAAGAGTTCATAATCTAGTTAAAGAGACAGGAGAAAACTAAATAAGATGTTTTAACTCATATCCTACAGGTAGGGACCAAGAGGCAACTATCTCTGCCTAGGGCATCAGTGAGAAGCTGGTTTTTGAGCAATGAGGAAAGTCATTCCAGGCAAAAGGAACATCACTAACAAAGTCGCAGGGCTTTGAAAGAGCATGGTGTATTGGAAAATGTTAAGTAGGTAACCTAATAGTGAACATTCTGAAATGTTTGTTACTGAATGCAGAAAGCATTCTACAGAGGTTGTTTTAGTCTTTTCTTAGCAGCATTGATGATCACACTAGCTAATTATCACTTTTGAAGGCAAAGCCAAAGATGAAGTACTGAAATGATAAGCGATAAATGTTAACGGTTAAGAAACAGAAGCATGCTACAAAGCACTGATGACTAAATGTGGAGTAATAACAGGCACTGCACAATGGATTTAGAGGAGGAAGAGGTCGCTGTCAATTTCATTGGTCAGGGAAGATTTCATGGAAATGGCAGAGTTTCACTGAATCATTAAAAAAAATTGAGAGCTGACTGAATATATCAGGGGCTGTGCTGGAGCAGGAGCTTCAAAACTATAGTTACTAAGGGACAGATAATCAGATACTTGCAAAAAATAAAGCAAGATTGCTATAAGAGGCAAGCATAGGCTGACGTGAGAAAACCTCAAAGTGACTCTTGGTTTAGAGCAGGGAGGTCAGGGATGGCTTTCCAAAGGTGAGGCTGTATGCACTGAATTATGATGGATGAATAGGATTTCATCAAGTGAAAGGGAAGAAAAAACTTTCTGCAATAGCCCCATTTAGTGTGAGAACACACCTCTTCCAAGGAACATGCAATAGCTCGAGATAGCTGAAGCAAAGGCTGAAAGGCAGTGAAAGAACTTTCTAAGGCAAATAGGTAGGGGTTTGATTACAAAAGCCTTTTATAGAATGTTGGAAGAATTTGACTTTTATCCTGAAGACGATGTGGGAGTTGATGAAGATTGTAAGCAGGGAAGTGACATGATTACATCCAAGTTTCACAATGACTGCTATTAAAGTCAATGATGATAAAGGCAACTGAAGATGAACAGATAATGGGGGCAGCCTAAGAGGCAGAGAGATTAAAAGGCTGTTGCTATTGCTTAGGAAAAATCAAAGAAGACTCAAACATACAGTAGTAGTGGTATTAAGAAAGAATGGGTAAGGTTTGAGCAGCCAGAGAAAGAAGTGGAGGCGTTCCTTAGGGAAATGATGTAGATAAATGTTTGGAGAAGTGGAGGGTGAGCAAATTAGTTTACCTGGGGTATATAGTATTTGGTAGAACAACAATGGTTAGCTTCGGAAGGCTGGAGCAGAGGGCCAGTTAAGGAACAGTTGGTGATGAAGTTGAAAACTCAGCCTGAGACAAGTCTATTAAATAAACAGGCTAAACAATTAGGATTTTACTCTTCCCATAGCAACATTAAAATATCACTTTTATTGTTGTAAAATATACATAAAATATACTATTTTAACCATTTTAAGTGTACAATTCAATCGCATTAACCATGCAACCATCAACACTGTTCATCTCCAGAAACTTTTCAACATCCCAAATAAAATTCTTTCCCCATCCTCCCCTGCTCTCCCACAACTGGCACCCAAGCATTCTGCTTCCTGCCTCTTAAGAGTTTGGCTACCCTAGGTACCTCATAAGTGGAATCATATGGTATTTGTCCTCTTGCTTCTAACTTATTTCACTTAGCTAAATCACTTTAATCAACACCTTGGCTAATCAACACACTGAATTCTAACTTCATTCTACTCTACATGCTATATTTTAAAACAAATGTCTAGCTTTTCTTACTTGACAATCTTTCCCACTTATTGCCTAAGGACACTTCAATCTAGCAAATTATAAACTCAGAGTTCTTAAGGACAATTTCGTCTACCACTGCCTACCACGAGAGCTTTTTATTGGTCTACTTACTCTAAATGTCTTTATGTTGCTAATTATTTTCATTTCATTATAGTTTACAGGCACTAGACCTTTTGCAAAATCCCACCTAGTACCTTAACCATAGTAAATTATAGCAAATAAAACACAGACATGATTCGAACTTCCCCAGGAGAACGGAAGTTTATTTAGGACCTGATATGAAGGCTCTTTTGATACTGTTTAATTTCCCATCGGTGGCTGAATCGGCTCTAAATGACGAGAATTAAAAACACACTGTTCTTATCTTTAGCTGGGGAAAAGTCCGAAGTTTCAGATGGTTGAAAACTATTTCAGAACCGTCAAGGTTATCTCACCTTTCTTTGGGGGCATCCCTAGATCATTACCTCTCTGCAATCGAGTCCACTAATTTTGGACAAGACACTAATCCTCTGAAGTCTCAGAGAGTTAGATTACACCAGCCTGTGCTTCCCAATCTTGTCCACACCACAGAGCACAAAATATGGTACTGCAGGACACTGAGATAAACGGAGGAGGCAGTACAGCACACCTGGAACCCACTGGCCGCCGTGCGTCCTCGCACAACGTGCAGACGCTCTCAAGGAGCGCTCCAGTCCGGAGGTTTGTTCCAACTGATGCGCCATAGCCGTCTATTACACAGGACGAAGTGGGACTCCCACTGTTTCTGGAGTCAGCGGCCTTTGCTTTCTTGTAAAAAAAGGAAAAATTTATTCCGTACGCTGGCCAAGTCGTAAAAAAGCACAAAGGCCACGAACCACGCAAATAAGCAAAAAATCGAAGTACCGCACTCGACCAGCGCGCTTTCCGCTGGTCTTACGTCTCTTCCCAGCAGGCTCCGGGAGTTACCGCGAGACTTCATCAATTCTCGCGATATTTACCGGCAGCCATCTTATTGGGGGTGCTAGGAGCCGGGAAGACCCCCCGAATCGTTCCCATTGAGCTGCCCTTCGTCTTCGCTTTCTTCACTTTTGCCTCTTCTGCGTTGCCGACACCACGTTATCCCGAGGCTGAGTGAAAGCCCGGATCTAGGCGTGTGTCGCCCTCCCGGTCCAAGAAGATTTGCTCGAGTGGAGGGAAGGGGGGAGGGCCCAGGCAAACCGTTGCTGCCTTAGCCGGCGTCCGGGGACGGGGAGCTCCTGGCACCCCGTGGATTCCCGGCCTGCTACGGTACCCGCAGAGCTGTTCGCCGATCGGGGCTCGCGGGAACCTGCCACCGGCGCCTCCCACCGCGGCCCACGCGGGCGGCGCGCGGAGGAGGGGGCGGGGGCAGCGGCGGCTGTAGCGGCCGCGACCTGGGCGGGCGGAGGAGTGTGACGGGCCTCGGGGCCGCTGTGGATGGTTTCTAAAATGATCATTGAAAACTTCGAGGCACTCAAGTCCTGGCTCAGCAAGACTCTCGAGCCCATGTGAGTATCCGGGGGCTATCTCCTTGCAGGGATGGAAGTGGGAGATAGGCGGGCACAGTTCCCGAAGTGCCTGTGATGGAGGCCGAAGCGGTGAACAGAGATCCCAGGGTTTTGTGTTTTTTCCTTTTCCACCCTCGCTTCCAGGTTCAGGATACTCCAGAGAGCTTGAGCTGACCTTTATCTTACCGCTGAGTTGGTCCTTGAACTGATACCTTCTTCTCTTGTTTTCCCGTTATATGTAGACCGACTCCAACCTACACACACATTTGATGAGGGCCCCCAAATCGGTTTCTTTTATTTTAGTGAATCCGAGCCTTACCTCTTGCCCAGACTATTTTATCTTGTTTCTTTAAATGAAGTGAATGGCCTTTATTAGGGATTAGGGCAGTTCTAATGTAAGCCACTCACATTTTACCTAAATACAGTCCCCGAAAGAAAGGCCACGTTTCCCATGTGCTATCTGGCTCACCCGCACCTCTCTTAACTGATTGAAGATGTAACAGGTGCCAAGGTGCCCAGTAAGATTCCCTTTTCCTACTTACACATTTGTTAGCTTGGAGAGGAGGAAGAAAATGTTATTTATCCATATGGGATATTTGGCAGTTTTAAGTGGGATGCTGTAGATGGACTGTGGGGAGGGGGTGTTCAGAGTGCTGGAATGTTTTATACTGGAAAAAATAGTGTTTTAAGGATTTATCTTTTAATACATACAAAATATATTTCGGGCCAGGTGCTATATCAAAGTTAGTTGATATACAGTAAACAAAATGAGAAAGGTTAAATCCACTCATCTAATAAGTTTATTAAGTGCCTGCTGTATATTGTGGGAGGCTTTGGTGACAGAGCTTTTAAATTCCAAAGTTGAGAACACAGTAATAAATGAGTTTTAAAGAAGTAAGATAACTTCAGATTAAAATAGAAGTGGTGGTTGTAATAATAGAGGGTCATATGAATGATTAGAAGGCCTCTCACAGGAGGTAGCATTTGAGCAACACTTGAGAAGGAACCATCTGGGTCAAAGTCTGGAGAAAGACTATTCCTTGCAGAAGGAACAGCAAGTGCAAAGGCCCTGTGGAGATACGATTACAGTGTGTTCCAGGAAGAGAAGGAAGGTAACTGGCTGCAAGGAACATTGTGATGGGGGAGAGAGTGGAATAACATGAGGTTGGAGAATTAGGCAGGGGCTGCATTATTTTGGTTCTTTGAGGCCATGGTCAAGAGCTAGGATCTTATTGAAAATACAGTGAGACCTTAGATAACTTAAAGCAGGCAGGGACTGATTTGATTTTTTAATTCTCGCTTTGTGGAGATTAAGGGGGCAAGAATGAAAGTAGACTATTCTGAAGGGCATTGTAGGCAGAAATGTGGGTCGTTTATATTATAGTGGTAGTGGAGACAGAACGAAATATGTCTTATAAGTAGATCTGATAGAACTTGCTAATGGATTGGATGTGGGAGATGAGGGAAAGGGACATCAAGGATAATGACTAAGAAGTTAGCCTGAACAGCTGGATGGATGATGATAGAGAAGGCTGGGAGAGAACAGGTTGAAGGGAGGTGGAAAGGTAATTGGTGTTTGTTACACATCCAAGTTAGATATTGAAGAGGTGGTTGGGTTGAGTCTAGAACTTGGGCAGGACTAGAGAGTCATGCAGAGAGTATTTGAAACCATGGAATTGTGGGAGATTTCCTAGTAAGAATGTGTTCACAGGTAAGAAAGGAAGGCCCACATCTGAGGTAGAAGACTGAGATTTATGTTACTAACGAAAAATATATGGCAAGATAGGCGAGTTGTCAACTTGATGGGATGCTGCAGAGTGGATGAAAAAGGTGGAGGCAGATAAGTGGTCCTTAAGTTTGGAAAGGTAGAAGTCATTGGTGACCTTAGCAAAATAGTTTTATTGAAGTGAGGTGGTCCAGATAGAAGCCTTATTTCAGTGGATGGAGAGAGAGCGTGCAACAGTGGTTGTAGTGATTTAGAGGACGAACTCCAGAGTCAGAATGGCTGGCTTTGAATATTGCCTCTGCCACTTACCAGCTGTATAATATTGGGTAAATTACTTAACTCAGTGCCTCCCGTTTTCTCATCTGTATGGGGAAATAATATCAAGAATCTTTAGACACTGCCTGGTTTGTAATTAGCACTCAATAAATATTAGGTGAACAGAAAACGTAAAAAAAAAGTTTTGAGTTTAAATAGCACTCCTTTTTAAAAATTTTTTTTTGAGTTATAGTTAACACAATGTTATATTAGCTACAGTTACACAAGGTAGTGGTTTAACATTTCTATTTTATGCTATAACCTAAAAGAAGATTACTTATAGTTATGTAGTATGTATGCTTGTGACTTTTATTCAGTTTTAATAAAGCATGTTTCAGATATCATAGCCTACTTAGATGACTGTAGCACTGCAGTCATTACTGTTAGGATAAATAAGGCTGCTAGTACAGCCTAGACAGTGGTAGGAATTGGGATTGGTCCTTTCATAATATATATTGCTGTGGTAAAATTGAGACTTTATCGAAGTTCCTGTCCCTTTCAGTGCATTTCAGGTGAGTTCTCGTTGACTCCAATTGTTTAAGACTTGTGGTTTCTAACCTTGGTTTTGTGAGGCTTTAAGATGTGTTTGTTATCTAAAGGGATTTTTTGCTTTACTTTATATAATTGCTAAATAGCACCTATTTGAAGGAGAAACATTTGAAGGACCAAGGGTAGGATATAACTCAAAACTTGTATGGAGCTTTCTAGCTACTTGTGCTAGTAAAGTATCTCATGGTTTTGGACTTACCCTGCATTTGAATATGTTAATTCAGCAAACATTGAGTACTTAATCTGTACTGAGCAGTGTGTTAGATATTGGGAATATTGGGAAACAAGCTGCAATAACTATCTTCATATTGTTTACCATTTAGCAGGGAAGACAGATGTTGAACAAGTAATTATAAGACCTTTGAGTATTATGAAGTCCAGAATGCTGTCAAAATGTATGTTTGGAAGGTCAGGAAAGGCTTTTGCTGGTATAACATTTGATCTTAACTTAAAAGGGTGAGTAGCAGTTTGCTAGGACAAAAGGGTGGGAGAGCTGTGAAAGCATTCTAGGTTTTGAAGAACAGATTGTATGAAAGCCCTAAAATGAAGGAAAAAAAAATGTCTTGGGGAAAATGAAATTTTTGAAAAAAGAGCAAAGGGAGGAATAGCAGTGGATAGCTCCAGAGAGAGGAGCTGGATCATTCAAGACTTTGTTGAGTCATGTTAAGGATTTTGGATGTTAATTGAAGGATAGTGGGAAGCCAGTGAAGGGTTTTAGGGCAGGAGAGTTTTCAGATTGACATAAAAACAAAAATCCAGCCTGGTTGCAGTGTTTTGGCATGAAATGAAAGTCGGTAAATCTGCTTGTTACTTGATTATAAGGTCTGTCGATGTGTCAGGGCTCTTGAGTTTTGTGGGGTTTTTTCCCCATAAATTATTGAAAATGTAGGTGTTAAAATTGACATCTTGAAATACTTAAGATTGATATTTTGTTCTCTCAAACATTTGCTTAGTCATACTTGCTATAATAAAATGAAATTAGATGTTGGTCCTTTCTTTAACATTCTCTTTGCTAATGTGAAGTCCTGGAAAAACAATTTTAAGCTTTTTTTTCTTTGGATGTTCAATTTTTCTGTTTTTGTTTTCTAAACAGAAAAGGTTTTCTGTATTTTGAAACTTTTTATGAGTTTACACATCACTAAATGTGGTAACTTAATAAAATCATGGACTATTTTAGCTGGAGGGAAACCTCAAAATCAAATTTGAAAAAACTCCTTAATTTTTCAGAAAATGGAGAGGCAGATAGACTTAATGATGTGCCCAGATTTTGTGAGGTTAGTAGTAAAGAACAGAATGCATAGTTTTGTGCTCCTGCTGCTATGTAGTGGTGTGGCGGTAACGTGTAGTGGAAAGAAGCCAAGTTTTGTAACCGTACAAACTAATGTTCACATCTAAATCCTGCCACTTATTAACTGAGTAATCTAGGCAAATGAACCTCCCCTTTCCTTATTGGTATAATAGGGGGAATTATACTTAATTACTTTTGTAGTTGAAAGATTTGAGACACATTTTTTTAAAAAGATTTTTAAATTAATTCATTTAGAGAGCCACGCCCCAAGAGAGAGCTTGCAGGGTGGGGGGAGGGAGAGGGAGAAAGAGAATCTTAAGCCGACTCCCTGCTGAGCTTGGAACCCTGCAGGCTCATCTCACAACCCTGGGATCATGACCTGAGCCACCAAGAGTTGGATGCTTCACCGACTGAGCCACCCAGGGGACCCTGAGTCACATTTTTAGGAGCCTAGCCCTTCCGTCTGTCCTTAAATACTGCTTGATTAAACATAAATAGGTTACATGCTACTGTTAACTCTTATCACTACCACTGCTGCTGCCACTACCACCTGCATTTGTATGCATTGTTGAAAGTTTTGTATTACTTCCAGTTCTGAGAGTTGGATTGTTACCTCCGGTTTGCAAGTGATGACACTGAGGCACAAATTTAAGGTACTTGTCTAGAGTCACACAGCTAGCCATAGCATGTGACTAAACAGTAATTTAAACTCCTGCTTTTTTGCCTCTAGAGCCATGTTCTTAATTTACTACCACACAATATAGTGTATTCTGCCCTATTACTGTATGCACTTTTTTACTGTTACATTTTCATAATACTAGCTGCAGTTATAAAGGAATAAAGTTCGAAAGCATCATGGTTATCAGTGCTTTACAGTTTAAGAAAGAAACTTTTTCAGAGTTTTTGCAATCTCTTTCTCCCTTCACCCACACTTGTTAACTATACCTTTCTCACCACATTAAAATTATTTTTGTTTCTGTTTTACAGGAAGAATTGAAAGGTGATCTTTTCACTGCTGAACTTTATTCCTGTTTCCCTTCTTTGATCTTTCTCTTTTTACAGACTCCTTTTGGCATAAAAAGTCAATTTCCTAGTCCTTAAGGAAGAAAAACTCAGCAACAA